ACAAGGAGGCTACTAGGGGCTCTTGGCATCACTACTAGGAGCAAGAAACTATCAGGTTGGAGTCTTCTATGTCGCGTGTTCTGCACAGAAGGCCCGCGGCTGAACGGCCGCGGCTGAGTTCTGCGCGGCCGATTTGTCTGGACGATGTTCTTTGATCCGCTGCTCCGCCTTCGCTAAGCATGGCCAGCCTAAGGCCTCGAGAAAGGCAAGTTTCTACCAGTAGTATATGGACAAGAAAAATTTCAGCAAACGGTCCACACATCCAAAGAGAGAGAGAGTGCTGAAGAAATGAAACACATGTATATATAAATGTTGCAAATGCATTGGTTTACAAACGAAACATACGAGTAGCAAGGGCGAGTGCATTCCTACCAGTAAGGCGCCGTTGAGAACACCGAAGGTGCTTTACAACTCGTTTCAAGCACATGTTTGGTGCTACAAAAATATCATAGGGGCTCCTGGCATCGCTACTAGGAGCAAGGATGCGACTAGGGGCCCCTGGCCTTGTTACTAGTAGCATTCTTGCTACTAGGAGCAAAGGGCATCGCTACTAGGAACAAAATATGTGTTGTTGAAAGGCAATGAAGTCTAAGTTCTCAGGCGCTTTGATGCTCAAATGAAAAAAGCCAAACATTTATGTGTTCCTTTCCTTCCTTTAAAATTAAAATATTAATACATATATATATATATGCTAGCCCCCCCCCAAAACCTATGTTTCTGAGTCCGGGTGTTACTCCGTATGATTTTGTTGTGTACCAGAGACAGCAAGAATGTCGAAGACACATTTCCCAAACGCATTTTGCAAATGCAATTTTTTCCCTGCTGTTGTTCCCCAAAGCAGTCAGACAAAATTCACTTGGCAAAGTGCCAATTGCACAAGGTACCAGAAGCAGTCCACAGATCACAATTTCTGTGCCAGTACTCACACTGTGCACTGCGGATTTTCAACCGCAAAAGAGGACTCGCTACCCGGCAACTTTGATTCAGTTCAATCCGATCTCTGAGAAAGCGCCAGGCACGATCAATGATCTGGGTACCGCCTTTGGTTTTGAGTTGGCGCCCAGTCTTTGGGCCCTTATGGGCGGCAATCTTCACATAAGTAGGCATTTTCCACACCCATTTGCCTTTGACCTTTACACGCTTTTTGCAGTGGCTGGTCGTGGAGAACGCCGCTCACTTTCAGCTTGTACGACTTGGCGGCGTCCGTGTGGAGGACGATGGCGCGATCCTGGAGGTGCTTGGTGGCTAGAGGACGCCACTCCACCTTCCTGATTGCACCTGGACCGGGCGCTCTCCGAACAGACGTTTGGGGAGTTAACCTTTCCAAAACAAGTGTGCATGGAGAACCCCGCTGCGCAATGCCACAGCACTGTTCCCAGATGATGGGCATCTTGGGGTTGTCGGCCAAGTGCTTCAGGTCTGTGCTTGAGAAGGTGGCTTCATCTGGGTCCACATCTGTCCAATCCTTGCCATTTCCAAACATAATTGACTGCTCCTTCTCTTCCACCCAGCCCTTGCGAAGATGATTCAGCCGCTTCTCCATATCTTCGATGGCTTTGTGGTTGAGAGCAAGAATGCGATGGATGGCAGGGCGCGACGCTCGGCAGAGCAGCAAGAAGAGCAAGGCGGACTGGGTCTGCAAAGGTGTGTGGCTAGCACCTCTTCCGTCTACAGAGATTGGGTGCAGGCGGTGAGGATTGATGTATGACAACCAAACTGATTGCAACGATATCTAGGCATCCCGTGGCCAACATTGGGTGGCAGCTTTAACAATGTACCCTTGTCACATCGAGGGCATCTCTTACCTGTCCACATAAGTAGGCATTTGCCCGAAATGTTCATCGCCATGGGCCCGGAGGAACAAGACAAAATTTGTTTTTGAGCCTTTCGCGCTCACAGGGAGATATTGTCCTTCCAAAGTTATTTAACATGCGGAATTTAGAATCCCTGGACAAACAAGTTATGTAACCTACCTGCACAATGTATATATATATATATATATATAAAGACTTGTCAGCATCCTTTTCTAGTTCGCTCTGCAGCAGATTTGTCAAAATAATGGTAAACAATCAGAAGAAAACATACCAAAAAAGAGACCAGGTTGGTTACCCCCCCCCTTCTTTGGTCCACTACACAAAGAAGGGGACGTAACCGGGTAACCTTTCCCCCCCCGACCAGGCGGGCCAAACCCCACTCCCTGGCCAGGTCCTGGGGAAATTAAAGTGCGACCCTTTTTTGCTCCTTACGAGCTCCTTGAAGGTCGCTTTAGGGATTTTCTTCCCTTGTTTCCACTTCCCCCGAGCCGCCGATTTCGGGCGGGCGGCCTGCTGCTTTGCAGCGGCTCAAGTGTTTTGAAAAACTTGGGGGTGGAATTCTGAAAGAACGCACGGTACGGTGTCAAAAACTGCTGAAAGGGACCTATCTGCATCTCTGTCAAGACCGCTCTGGATTCGTTGAGGTAAAGACGGGCCGTTTTTTGGGCCTGCCACCGACCTAGAAGCATGACCCTATCTAGGTTGCCA